CAGTTTAACACACAGTTAAGCACAAATACTCACAACAAACCACCAATAGTGTGTTAACTAGCTAACCAGCATGCCAGCATCCAGTAACACACAGCCAAGCACAAACACTTGGTCACAGCAAACCACCAATAGTGTGATAACACACTAAACAGATCATTCGTGTCTGTGTCAAGTTCCTTTCATGACGCAACAATGATTCAACATTGGCTAGCTAGGACAAGTATATTGTAATTAGCTGCTACCGTACCGTTCGCTGGTCGTGCTGGGTAGCTAGGTCGTGCTGGGTAGCTAGCAATGGCCACTGTGTTGGCTTTGTTTTAAGAACGGCTAGCTAGCTAGCTTCGTGCTACACCCGGCACACAATGGCTACTGTGTTGACTCTGACTCTGTTCGAAAAAAAACGGCTAATTAGCTCGCTTCGTGCTACAGCCGGCACGGCGGAAGACACTGCCAAGACACAGTAGCTACCCACGATACCTAGCTATGACGCCGTAGCTGACTAGCAAGCTAGCATCCATTAACACACAATTAGCACCAATACTTGGTTACAACAAACTGCCAAGAGTGTGTTAGCACACTAAACAGATGATTCATGTCCGTGTCTAGTTCCTTACATAACGCAGAACGCAGCAAAAATTAAACGTTGGCTAGAAGCACATTTAACAGTGGGACAGCTAATCGTTACCAGTAGCTACCCGCTAGCTAGCTAGCCTCGTGCTTCGATACTAACCTACAATAACCTACGGAAACCTACAACAACAACAATACTAACCTATAATAAATACAATACCTAACTACACTAACTACCAACCTACGATCTAATGCATGGTTAAGCTATACTCAACACCAAATGAGAAGTTTGCTTACCTCCAGCTAGAGAGCTAGCTAGCCTCGAGCTTCAATACTAGCCTACAATAACCTACGGAAACCTACAATAACCCACGATACCTAGCTATGACGCCGTAGCTGACTAGCAAGCTAGCATCCATTAACACACAATTAGCACCAATACTTGGTTACAACAAACTGCCAAGAGTGTGTTAGCACACTAAACAGATGATTCATGTCCGTGTCTAGTTCCTTACATAACGCAGAACGCAGCAAAAATTAAACGTTGGCTAGAAGCACATTTAACAGTGGGACAGCTAATCGTTACCAGTAGCTACCCGCTAGCTAGCTAGCCTCGTGCTTCGATACTAACCTACAATAACCTACGGAAACCTACAACAACAACAATACTAACCTATAATAAATACAATACCTAACTACAACTAACTACCAACCTACGATCTAATGCATGGTTAAGCTATACTCAACACCAAATGAGAAGTTTGCTTACCTCCAGCTAGAGAGCTAGAGAGCTAGCTAGAGCAGACACAGCTGTACTAGAGATGGTGGTTTATTAAAGAACAAAATCTTCAGGCAAAGAAGCTAAATCCACAATGTCCAAAAATGAAGCCAAGAGGCACAAAGAGGGAAACCTCCAAAAAAAAAAGAAACTCCACAAAGTGGTAAAAAACAGCAGGGAAAAAAACAAACCTCAAAAGACTACTCAAACAAAACACAAGAACTAAACCAGAGAACCTCTGGAAAATCCCACCAGAGAAATATCTATATAAAACAAGGCTTGGGCTGGGTGCTAACTTACAAACACTGAGCAAGGAACTGAGGAACACACAGGGTTTAAATACTAACAAGGGAATGACCTACAGGTGCAAACAATAATTAGAGCAAGAAAAACAAAAGGTACAAAAAGGTGCAATGGGGACATCTAGTGACCAAAACCCGAACAGTCATGGCCACGACCCGGTGCGAGAAACAGTCACTAATAATTGTCAGAACCCAGAAGATGAGGCAGACACAGCTGTACTAGAGATGGTGGTTTATTAAAGAACAAAATCTTCAGGCAAAGAAGCTAAATCCACAATGTCCAAAAATGAAGCCAAGAGGCACAAAGAGGAAAACCTCCAAAAACAAAAGAAACTCCACAAAGTGGTAAAAAACAGCAGGGAAAAAAACAAACCTCAAAAGACTACTCAAACAAAACACAAGAACTAAACCAGAGAACCTCTGGAAAATCCCACCAGAGAAATATCTATATAAAACAAGGCTTGGGCTGGGTGCTAACTTACAAACACTGAGCAAGGAACTGAGGAACACACAGGGTTTAAATACTAACAAGGGAATGACCTACAGGTGCAAACAATAATTAGAGCAAGAAAAACAAAAGGTACAAAAAGGTGCAATGGGGACATCTAGTGACCAAAACCCGAACAGTCATGGCCAAAACCTGACATGTAGTTCTCAAAATCCATATATAGTAGACAAACCAGTTTAAAATCTATAGGTTTACCAAACGGTTAAGTGATTAACCATTAAGCGCAGTTGGATTAAGTGATGGTCAAATGTATTTAAACAAATGAGAAGAGAATCATATAAAAAGTATTGTGAACATTGCATTGTGAATGGTAATTACTTTATATGAAAGGTATTTCTAGATGAAACACTGATTAGGTTTGGTGAAAAAGTTACTGTGTGATTTTGTGTGTTGTACTAAGTCAATAGAAAATGTGCTAAGTTTTGGGTTTTGTATAAACAGGCGTGAAATTTTACCACATACTTGTGAAAACAGTACCAAAGTGATTAAAAAAAACGGTATTATACTACTTCGGGGAGCTACCCAGTCTTCAGCTCTCAGGCAAAAGTGCTCATAAAATGGATGTGGTTCACCGAATTAGGAGCAATATGGGATTCCTTTTTGTTCTTATGATCTGTCTGGACATTCAAAACGGTCTCAGGTTAAAATCTGCTGCCCTGCAGTTGGGATGAAGTCAGTCCTGTAGGTACTGTATGACACTGTCTCCAGAGCTCTATCTAGACTAGAGCATGACTGACCTCTAGTGGGCAATATTTTAAACAATGTGCTTGTCCTGTCTGATTATCAAATACATTGTTATCATATACATTTCCATATCAAGTTATGGAATACTTTAAACCACTTAAATACTTTGTGATCAGTTGAGTGACATGGCCAATCATAAAAAATGATAGGAAACCACAATTCTGAACCCTAGCAGTAACTGTAGAAAGTGCAGCCTATTTGAAAGCTATAGCTTTCAGAGATTCTACATTGATAGGTAGACTAACTATGGTTCTATTGAAAATCATGAATTGTTCTGTAAATATTGAAATTAATCTCAATGCAAAACTGCTGCCCTGATTGTGCTCTGTATGTAGGCCTCAATGGTTTATATGCAGTATACACTAGATTACTAATTGGGGGTGCTGTGTTGATGCTACCGTGGTGCCTCTATCTTGGCACTCCCCTGCCATTGTAAAAAATATTTTGGAAGCTATAGAAATGCATTTATTAATGTCTACATTCGTTTTTGCCACATTTATTATATTACAGACACCTTAATGCATACTTTTAAATTGTATTATGTGAGCTAAACATAAAACATATAAAAATAAAAACATTTTCTTAAAGTATATTTTTTTAGAGATTGCTAGTGTTACTGTCCCCACTACAACAACAAAATACTTAAATAGATGTAATTTTGTCTTTGAAACATTTAATTGAAATACTGTAGAATTCCATTCATTCCTATGGAGGACTGCTCCCACTGGGGAGTGCCAATATGGCCGACTTGTGACTTCAAAGCCTCTCAATGGCCAATAAATAGCATAATTATTCCAGGGTTTATATACATCATCATTGGTAGTACTGTAATGCTGCATTCATAACACATCGGAAACTCTGAAAATATGGCTTGTAAACTCGGAACAAAGAGTTGTGTGCATTCACACGCTTTGAACAAGCTTTGTCAATGATAAACAATAAAAGTACAGCTAAACAAATGATTGTGTCGAAGCACAGGGATCATCCCCTATTTTCTCCACTTATAATAACAAGTTGGAGGGCGTTTAAATTCCGCTGGTCTGTCGTTCGCTACATACTTTAGTCTGAGACTGCCATCATTGAAGTCGTTTCTGGTGACGAGGGGCATGAGAAGCTTTGTACAAAACAAAGTCATCATCGATTGGATAATCTCTAACCAATCAGTATAAAAGCCAATTACACATTTTCAAACCACTGCTTTACCCGCTTGTGTTCTGGCTCTGGTCGAACCCATCGGTTTCTGGAACAATCAGATGGCCCGAATGTGTTCGCATTCGGTGAAGGGTCAGGGAGGTACTCAGATCCGGAGAAGAAACTAACATCTGTGGGGGTGGCGTAGCGTTTGGCTGGAGCAAGGAGTCTGGGTAGCCCAATAGTTTCTGATTCCAGCCTGCAGTTCGGGGCGTTCCTGCATGTGGGCATTCCTGCATCTGGTTGCTGCATTGGTTGCTGCAAGCATGCCATCTTCATGCTTGTGTGACACTTTTGATTTTCTGGATTTCCCCTGATTATCTATGTGATTAAAATGTGGGTCAAAAGGGAAATAAATGTACTATCTGAGTTTTTTGGGGGTGAAGGACACTGTCTAATGGTGTCCTAGCTAGCATGCTATTGGTGTTGCCCGCGCCTTATCTGTGGTTGGCATCCAACGTTATGGTGCATCACCGCCACCTACTGTACTCGACCTACCAATATAAGTATAAAGTGGGGTTCCTGCAGATGCAGAAATGCCCACATGCAGGAACGCCCCGAATTGCAGGCCGAAATTGCACCCTTGTCTGATAGCCAGGCATGTTTAAATATATATTTAGCATTCGAACGCTCGTGTTTCCGATTTTCCGACGTCATGAACAGCTCCTCTCGAGCATGACATTATCAGACCGACGACATCATCGTCGCGTCAAACACGGTTAGATGCGAACACACAACATCGGTCGCAGGTGGAGAGAAGAAACACACTTCGACATTGACGTTACTAAGACAACATTTAATTGATTTGCGACATCAAACATTTCGTGTCATAACGTTTATCATACCATTGTTTCATGACTGTCATCTACTTAGCGGTTTGACATCGCTTTATTCCCTGGTTCCTATTATGCCGTCCCGGTCTTGGTTTATCGCTGGTAGCGCTCTCCTCCTTTCTCTGGCAGTCGGGGCGAAGGGACCACATCCATGCACAGAGGTGAGATCCACTCGCAGGACGCAGATAATGTGTGTTGTTGTCGGAGTCATTGTTGCCGTCAGTATTTTCTGTAGGCTAATAATAGGCTATGCATGTTACTGGAAAACACAGGAGCGTGTTATTTACCAGTTTACGCATTCAAATAGAGAGTCAGAAGAGGACTGTGAGTTTAGGCACATACTGAGAACATGAACGCTAACAGTAGGCTTTTGTTATTCCACTCACCATAACTAATACGATTAAGAATTGATGACGCTACACTTCTGGTCAGATTCATATGTTTATCTAAATATAAAACACACACACACACACACACACACACACACACACAGCTTAGAGAGAGACACTTTACTCATCCTGTTTCTCAGAGTAACGTTACCTGTCAGTCATGCAATCTGTCAGTCCTGTCTGTGGGATTCCTGTGAGATTGTTGCTTAGTACACTTATACTGTTTAGGGCAATGTTTGACTGAGTATGGTGAAGGGGTTCCGAGGTGTGTGTATGTCTATGTGTTTTGCGTGCCTGCAGTGTTCTGGTTTGTGTCTCACCACTCAGGGCAGACTGAGTGTTATCAGTTTCTTGCATGGAGCTGCCTTTCCATCTCTCTCTCCCTCTCCCTCTCTCTCTCTCTCTCTCTCCTCATATCCGCTCTCATGACAGCGCTCGCCCTCTCCGCGAGCGCTCTCTCCCTCACTCTATCTCCCTCTCTATCTCTCTCTCCCATCATCCTCTATCCTCTCCTCTCCTCCCTCTCTCCCTCTATCCCTCTCTCTCCCTCTCTGCACTCATCACCTCTGAGCCATAGCACAGGGCAGGCAACAGCCTCAATTCAAATACAATTCTATTCGTCACATGCTTCTTAAACAACAATAATAATAGAAATAATAGAAAAGTAATAACACGTAATAATAAAAGTAATAATAAATGAGTAACAATAACTTGGCTATATACACAGGGTACCAGTACCAAGTCGGTGTGCAGGGGTACGAGGTAATTGAGGTAGATACTGTATGTACATATAACTAGGAATAAGTGACAGATAAAAACAGTAACAGCAGCCTATGTGATGAGTCTAAAAGGTTAGTGCAAAAATGGTCAAGGCAGATAGTCTGGGTAGCTATTTGGTTAACAATTTAACTAACAATTTAGCAGTCTTATGGCTTGGGGGTAGACGCTGTTCGTGGTCCTGTTGGTTTCAGACTTAGTGCATCGGTACCTCTTGCTGTGCGGTAGCAGAGGGAAAGGTCTATGACTTGGGTGGCTGGAGTCTTTGACAATTTTTTGGGCCTTCCTCTGACACCGCCTGGTATAGAGGTCCTGGATGGCCAGGAGGTCAGCCCCAGTGATGTACTGGGCCATACGCACTACCCTCTGTAGTGCCTTGTGGTCGGATGCCAAGCAGTTGCTATACCAAGCCGTGATGCAGCCAGTCAAGATGCTCTCAATGATGCAGCTGTATAACTTTTTGACGACCTGAGGGCCCATGCCAAATCTTTTCAGCCTCCTGAGGGGTAAGAGGTGTTGTTGTGCCCTCTTCACGACTGTGTTGGTGTGTGTGGAGCATGATCGATCCTTAGTGATGTGGACACCAAGCAACTTGAAGCTCTCAACTTGCTCCACTACAACCCTGTCAATGTGAATGGGGGCGTGCTCGGCCCTCCGTTTCCTGCAGTCCACGATCAGCTCCTTTGTCTTGCTGACATTGAGGGAGAGGTTGTTGTCCTGGCACCACACTGCCAGGTCTCTGACCTCCCTGTAGGCTGTCTCATCGTCGTCAGTGATCAGGCCTACCACCATCGTGTCGTCTGCAAACTTAATGATGGTGTTGGAGTCATGTTCGGCCACTTAGTCATGGGTGAACAGGTAGTACAGGAGGACTAAGGAGGACTCCTGAGGGGCCCCCGTGTTGAGGTCAGTGTGGCGGATGTATTGTTGTCTACCCTCACCACCTGGGGGCGGCCCGTCAGGAAGTCCAGGATCCAGTTGCAGAGGGAGGTGTTCAGTCCCAGGGTCCTTAGCTTAGTGATGAGCTTGGAGGGCTCTACGCTGAGCTGTAGTCAATGAACAGCATTCTCACATAGGTGTTCCTCTTGTCCAGGTGGGAAAGGGCAGTGTGGAGTGCAATAGAGATTGCATCATCTGTGGATCTTTTGGGGTGGTATGCGAATTGGAGTGGGTCCAAGGTGTCTGAGATGAGCCATGACCAGCCTTTCAAAGCATTTCATGGCTACAGATGTGAGTGCTATGGGCGATAGTAATTTAGACAGGTTACCTTGGCATTCTAGGGCACAGGGACTATGGTGGTCTGCTTGAAACATGTATACAGTGTCTTGCAAAAGTATTCATACCCCTTGGATTTATTTACATTTTATTGTGTTACAAAGTGGGATTAAAAATGGATGTAATTGAAACTTTTTGTCAACAATCTACACAAAATAGTCTGTCAAAGTTTAAACATTAATAGAAATGAAATTACTAAAATATAGTCGTTACATAAGTATTCAACCCCTTTGTTTAGGCAAGCCTAAATTAGTTCAGGTGTCAAACTTGGCTTAACAAATCACATAATAAGTTACATGGACTCAATCTGTCTGAAATAATAGGGGTTGACATGATTTTTGAATGACTAACCCTTCCTCTGCACTTCCACAAGACTACCACGTCTACCATCAGAGAACAAGTATTTCAGCCCTACATTTAGCCTGGGCCAACCCTCCTCCTGGAGAGCCACTGGATATGCATGCGTTTCCTCTAGCCTGGCCCTTTAGAACACAACTGATTCTGCTAATCAATGTCCTGATGAGCAGCTGCTTGGATTTAAGTCTATTAGAGCAGGGCTGGAGCAAAAGCCTGCACACCCAGTAGCTCTGCAGAAGAAGGGTTGGTCACCCCTGGTCTAGTGGAACGTATTTAGAATGACACCATGTGACAGTAAACGTGATATAGCAGGGCTTGAGGTTTATATCAATATGAGTTCAGATTTCACCCGAAACAGACTTCTTCTCCTATCAGGTAACACATGACAGGCATGTAGAATATAGACTCTTCTATTGAGTCATGGTGTGGAGGTATAGATAATTAATGTTTATGGCCTGATTATTGATTGTCATGAATCTTAGTGATGCATAGCTCAGTCATTCCTAAGAAAAAGAGACGGGGAGAGTTTTAGACAAATGGTAATAAATAAGTCAAGAAGTCATGTGAAAAATTGTCTGCATGTGGCACTCATTCATTTGCATCAACCCAATACTACTGTGGGATGCAAATAGCTTCAGTTTTGAGTAGGGCCGGGATGATACCAGTATCGCGATACTCGTTAGTATCGTGGCAAGGAAATAAAGCGAATTTAACTTCTTTAGGAAAACAGCCCTAATGTTGGAAACAAACATCATTATGTTGTCATCCAGTTACTTTGATATATTTTCCAAGCTATATACACACAATACTTTATATACAGTAGGTCTTTATAGGACCAAATGTTTGATCTGCTTCATGTTTTCATTTTAAGGACCAAACACTGGTGTTACTGTAAAACCTAGCCATGATTCTACAGCTCCATATCTCTGTCATGTCCATAAGGCCCACAGCATGACCGCAACATCACAGTGACCAGACACGTGTGTGTGTGTGTGAGGGATCCTCTAAAAGGTCAACATTCCTAAGACATGGCATGAAACGTGGTATTTCACTCAATGGTTTGGCGATCATTGTCTACATTGGTTTGGCAAATTCAATGCCTCCATGCATTAAACTGACCTAGCATCAGTGTTCAGGGACAATCGATCACATTTATTTATAAAGCCCTTTTAACATCAGCAGATGTCACAAAGTGCTTATACAGAAACCAACCTTTAATCACAAAGAGCAAGCAATGCAGATGTAGAAGCACAGTGGCTAGGAAAAACTCCCTAGAAAGGTGAGAACCTAGGAAGGAACCTAGAGAGGAACCAGGCTCTGAGGGGTGGCCAATCATCTTTTGGCTGTGCCCAGTGGAGATTATAAGAGTACATGGCCATTAAGGCCAGATCGTTCTTCAAGATGTTCAAACGTTCATAGATGACCAGCAGGGTCAAATCATAATTGCAGTGGTTGTAGAGGGTGCAACAGGTCAGCACCTCAGGAGTAAATGTCAGTTGGCTTTTCATAGCCGAGCATTCAGAGGTTGAGACAGCAGGTGGGAGAGGGAGAGAGAGAGAGGGGGAGAGAGAGAGAGAGGGAGAGAGAGTTGAAACAGCAGGTCCAGGACAAGGTAGCACGTCCGGTGAACCGGTTAGCCGCAGGCAGAGCAGCAGCACGACCAGGTGGACTGGTGATGGAGACAGACAGGAGTCGTCAGGCGAGGTAGTCCTGAGGCATGGTCCTAGGGCAGAGAGAGCGAGCGAGAGAGAGAGAAGAGAGAGAGAAGAGAGAGAGAAGAGAGAGAGAGAGAGATGGGAGAATTAGAGATGGGAGAAATAGAGATGGGAGAATTAGGGGGAGCATACTTAAGTTCACACAGGACAGCAGATAAGACAGGAGAAATTCACCAGCTAGGCACGTAGACTATTGCAGCATAGATACTGGAGACTGAGACGGGGGGTCGGGGGACACTGGCCCCGTCCGACTATTCCCCCCGGACAGGGCTAACCAGTCAGGATATAACCCCACCCACTTTGCCAAAGCACAGCCCCCACACCACTAGAGGGATATCAACAGACCACCAACTTACTACCCTGAGACAAGGCAGAGTATAGCCCACGAAGACTACACCACCGCACGAGCCCGAGGGGGCGCAAAACTGGACAGGAAGATCACGTCAATGACTCATGTCGAGTATAGCGAAAAAGGCCTGGCATGACATGATGCACCCCTCCTAGGGACGGCATGGGACAACTTCTATCTCATCCATTAAACTGACCTAGGATCAGTGGTAAGGGACAACATCTATCTCATCCATTAAACTGACCTAGGATCAGTGGTTAGGGACAACTTCTGTCTCATCCATTAAACTGACCAAGGATCAGTGGTTAGGAACAACTTACCATGCATACCCACTGTGTGCTGTGACTTGGTTTCCTATATCCATAGTGATGGAATGTTGTGTTATGTGTATCCACCAGGGCGGGGAGTAGTGGGCGTGGCCAGAGAACCTACCGGAGGAGAGAGATAGAGAGGGGATGATGACTCAGGACCATTAGTGGTCTTGGTGTTTACTGACCTCTCTGTCCCCCAGTCGTGTCTATTCTCTGTCTATCTTTATCTCACTGTTTCTCACACATACTGTTCACACACAGACACACTGAACTTCTCTCTCTCATTGTGTAACAATGCTTTCTCTTGTGTTGCAGACAGACTACTACTATGAGTATACAGAGTGTGACAGTACAGGGTCACGATGGAGAGTAGCAATCCCTCAGAGCCATGGATCCTGCATCGGACTGCCAGAGCCTGTACGAGGGACAGAGTGCAGTAAGTTGTGTGTGTGCGTTTGTGTGTCAAAGATGGTAAGTAAAGAGACTTGGGGTTTGTAGGGATAGCTCAGGATTTTTTTATTTAAAAAAAAAATCATTTAGCAGACGCTCTTATCCAGAGCGACTTACATGAGCAATTAGGGTTAAGTGCCTTGCTTAAGGGCACATCGACAGATTTTTCACCTAGTTGGCTCAGGGATTAGAACCAGCGACCTTTCGGTTACTGGCACAACGCGCTTACCCACTAAGCTACCTGCCGACTTCTAGCCCTTTTCTAGCCCTCTTCTCAGTGTGTATGTCCAGTTGAGGGTGAGGTTGGGCAAGGGACAAGGGAGAGGGGTGTTGGAGTTCTCCTTTGTTTCTCACACCCTCTTATCAGCTGGTTGGAATTTCCTCCAGTATTCCACAACGGCCTGATTGGCTCTCTTTGGCTCTGCTCCAGCCAACCGCAGAGCTGGCTTCATGCTGGAACAACAGGCCAATAACCTCAGAACATCATACACATACACACACGCACATACACACACATATGGTTACCACTTAGGCCATACACGTTTAATTAACTGTATAACGGATGCCCCACTTCACATTTCTCAAAAATAAACAAAAGGGGAAAAAGTAAATAAATTATTTATTATAAACAATTATTTTTGACAAATCAAATTATTTGCTTTGCCATGGTAGTAGTTAGGATTCGGTTCGATAGCGGTGAATCAAATCATGGTAATCAAAATAATAATTTGTGAATTGGGAACAGTAAAAACAAATGTTTTAGTAGCCTTTCTTTTGGATTATGTCACTGTAAAACTTGTTTTGTAGATATTTTAAGTTGATTTGGGCATTGCAAGTCAATAGATGCTAGTCAGCCTGCAGTGAACACCTCTAAGGTAAGATAAATATGACTAAACTAGAATCTGTACATTTCCTGAAGACAATGTGTGTGCTTGCTTCAACTGTCTAAAAATATTTGGATGGTAGTAGGAGATGTGTATGTATAATTCAAGAGGAATAAAAGCTGAAGCAGTTTAATAGAGTAAAAATTGATCTGATTACTTTAGTAGAATGCTATACTGTATAGTTCAGCTAGCCCATCAATACCATAATACCAAATGGATAAAATCTCTTGATGAGGTTGCTAGGTATTGCACCAATATTGTTTAGTATTTTTTTACAAGGGGTTACATTTTGTATTTATGTTTTGCTCGCTAACTTCACTTTTCTGAAGAAAAAATATATTTTTGACTGGCCTTACTGTTTGCTGTGTAAAGGCCAGTCAAAGCAATAGGGGTCTGGTGGTTATGTCTTTAACTGATGCGTGTCTGTGGACAAGATTTCATTGACATAATGTAGCTGTAGCGTGATAAATATTTTACACAGTCATATCCAAAATTATTGGCACCCTTGATGAACATTAGCAAAAAATCATGCATAAATAAATGATAAGAATACTGAGCTACACTACATGACCAAAAGTATGTGGACACCTGCTCGTCAAACATCTAATTCTAAAATCATGGGCATTAATATGGAGTTGGTCCTCCCTTTGCTGCCACTCTTCTGGGAAGGCTTTCCACTAGATGTTGGAACATTGCTGCGGGGACTTGCTTCCATTCAGCCACAAGAGCATTAGTGAGGCCGGGCACTGATGTTGGGCGATTAGGCCCGGCTCGCAGTCAGCGTTCCAATTCATCCCAAAGGTGTTCGATGGGGTTGAGGTCAGGGCTTTGTTCAGGCCAGTCAAGTTCTTCCACACCGATCTCGACAAGCCATTTCTGTATGGACCTCACTTTGTGCATGGGGGCATTGTCATGCTAAAAATAGGAAAGGGCCTTCCCCAAACTGTTGCCACAAAGTTGGAAGCACAAAATCGTCTAGAATGTCATTGTATGCTGTAGCGTTAAGATTTCCCTTCACTGGAACTAAGGGGCCTAGCCCGAACAATGAAAAACAGCCCAGACCAAACTTTACAGTTGGCACTATGCATTGGGGCAGGTAGCGTTCTCCTGGCATCTGCCAAACCCAGATTAGTCCGTCAGACTGCCAGATGGTGAAGCGTGATTCATCACTCCAGAGAACGCATTTCCACTGCTCCAGAGTCCAATGGCAGCGAGCTTTACACCGCTGCAGCCGACGCTTGGCATTGCGCATGTTGAACTTGTGTGCAGCTGCTCGGCCATGGAAACCCATTTCATGAAGCTCCCGACGAACAGTTCTTGTGCTTACGTTGCTTCCAGAGGCATTGTGGAACTCGGTAGTGAGTGTTGCAACTGAGGACAGATTATTTTTATGCACTGCGCGCTTCAACACTCGGCGGTCCCGTTCTGTGAGCTTGTGTGGCCTACCACTTCACGGCTGAGCCGTTGTTGCGCCTAGATGTTTCCAATTCACAATAACAGCACTTACAGTTGACCGGGCAGCTCTAGCAGGGCAGAAATATGACGAACTGACTTGTTGTAAAGGTGGCATCCTATGATGGTGGCACGTTGAAAGTCACTGAGCTCTTTAGTAAGGCCATTCTACTGCCAATGTTTGTCTATGGAGATTGCATGGCGGTGTGCTTGATTTTATACATCTGTCAGCAACAGGTGTGGCTGAAATAGCCGAAACCACTAATTTGAAGGGGTGTCCACATACTTTTGTATATAAAGTGTAAATGGTATGCCAAAACATCTGGCAAATTCTATTATATATTAATACAATTGGTCAGAGAAAAATATTTTGTTTAAAGCTGGAAACAGCCACGTCCGTTTGGGATATTACAACATCAACAACTGCAAACAACGAACACTGACATTATTGCACGCCCGATAGAAGAGCACAATATGTACTGCAATTTCTTTTACCATGCTGTGCGACGCTCCTCAGCTCAACAACCAAAACAATGACAACGGTGGTGGGTTGGCCAGTGGTGCATTTTACGCCTACTCCGGATTCCATCTTCAACTGTTTTCAATACTTTTTGCACCCTCCTCTTGCACTTAGCCTTTTCTATAATGTTTTCTGAGATTGAAGAACACATTGGGAGGGATCTTAGACTATTTCTCCATACAGAATCTTTTCTCATCCTTGATATCCTTTGGTCTGCGTTTGTGGACAGCCCTCTTCAATTCAAATCACAGTTTTTTAATGGGGTTCAAGTCTGGAGACTGAGATAGCCATTGTGGTCAATTAACCATTTCTTTGTGGATTTTGATGTGTGCTTTGGTTATTGTCTTTCTAGAAGATCCACTTGCGGCCAATTTTTAGCCTCCTATCAGAGGCAACCAGGTTTTTGGCTAAAACGGAAGCAAAACAGCCCCATAACATCAAAGATCCACCACCATATTTTACAGTAGGTATGATGTTATTTTCTGTATATACATCCTTGTTTAGAAAATCAAACACACCACTGGTGTGCGTGGCCAAAGAGCTCTATTTTCGTCTCATCTGACCATAGCATCCGGTTCCAATCCAAGTGCCAATGCCTTTAGCAAACTCCAGGCATTTTCATTTGTGGATTGCTCTCTTTTTTCTGGCAACCCTTCCAAATAGCCTATTGGCATGGAGGTGGCGTCTAATTGTAGATTTGGAGACTCGGTGACCCCAAGATGTGTCCAAGTTCTGTAATTCCCAACTGTGGCCCAACCGAACCATCTTCCTCACTATGCTTGGGGACAAGATTGGGTCCTCTACACTTGGGTCCTCTACCAGGCAGGTATACCACTGTTCCAGTGCTTACTTTTTAATTGTTGCCCTAAGCATTTGTCTCTTTTCATTTGTGAGTTCTTTGCCTTTCCCCATGGTGATGGATGACGAAGGGATTTTACATGCTTGTTATCAAATGTTTATACCCCAGTGAAACAGGAAGCCATGGAAGGTCACAATATACCTCTTTAAACTGAGATTTAGGTAAAAAAGGACCATTTTAATGCAGATTTTATTTTGTTTGATTTTATTTATAAGAATCTTTAAGGGTGCCAATAATTTTGACACCTAGAATTTGGGTTTAAAAAAAACTTGTTAAACAACAACTCTTTCTCTGAGCAATTGTATTAGTATAAAATAATACCATTTTATTTTTTGCTAATCTTTATTGAGGGTGCCAATAATTTTGGATGTAGGTCACTGACCAGTAGTGCTGAGCAATTAGTGCTTTTTGAGGTCGTTTTTGTTAGATTCTTTTTTTTTCACGGTTTTCGATTTTGATAATTTTTTTAGACATGAAATGCACTATGCATTATGTGGGTTGAATTCTGTAACAACATTGAGTAAAACAATGAATAAAAGTCCCATGATGGTGGTGACTGCCCATTACTGCTTATCACTTATTAACTATAATTTATTCACATTACTTTAATTTAATAAAATATTTGTTTTATTTGTTGACTTCATTATTTCATTCTAAGTCATCATCTCATCTCTATATGAGCAACATAATAGCTGTGTTTTCCCCCTGGGAAAGGAGAGAGTTAGTCGCTCGCTCGACACAGCAGTGGGCCCCAGCGAAACGGGTATAGGGTCAGGCAGACACTTTCATTACAGGAATCATGATGATAATGTACTTTACTGTTTGACCAAATCATGGTTTTAGCCTCCTTAAAAAATAGGACGTTTTGAGTAAGGTGACCATGTAGAATGTGCAGCTCGCACCGATGCGACCAATAAAAAGTGTAACTCGCACAGCCAAGTCAAAGGATTGGTCTCAGTATGGAGCCCTGCTGTGTTTGCTCTCCAGGCTGCACTTTCAGACCCCGACAAAGCTCCTCTATCGATTTGGCCTACGTTTTTAGGGACAAGACAATTATCCTGCTGATCTTACAACAACACAATTCAATGATTATTAAAATATTCAACCTACTGTATGTTGTGATAATTGCGTTGTTTTCTCTATAACCCGCTACAATTGCATTCATACACCACTGTGATAGATAAGGCAGCCAAGCCATATACATTTGTTTACAGACACAGGTTCAGAAGTCAACAGAATGAATTCAACCACATAGCCAAGCCATATACATTTGTTTACAGACACAGGTTCAGAAGTCAACAGAATG